GTAAGATAAAATAAAAAAGAACAACAATGTCGGTTAAAAGTGACATCGTACTTTACGTCGCTTAGAAGCAACATTAAAATATCAAACTATTGTCAATCCTAACCGACATTACCTAACATCTCGATAAATAAAATAATTATTATGTTGTTGCCCATAAGCGACACCAAATATATTAATAATAAAAAACAAATTGGCTTCAGTTTTTAGTTATTAATGTTAAAAAAAAATTATATAAAAATCATTCCCACCATATTTCATATATAGGCCAAAGCAAACATTAATAAAACTATTAACAATAACAATAGTACCAAACACTAACAATTATCCACCATAACTACAATTAACTACAATTCTTAAAAATGTACAACCTATACATATATTCTTCCCGAACTCTTGCAAAAGATCTTGAACTGGTTGTGTGGTTCATTGTTTTCAACTGACGATTATGCTTATTTCTTTATAGCTATCTCCTGAAAAAATAAGAGAATTTATTAGACAAATTTCAAGGTATAATAAAATAAATCATAAACGGATGATTTATGTGATCTCTAATCTCTACTGCTACATGTTTTGAAAAAGCACTAGAATTATCACTAATACATTTTCCAGACGAATCAAATGAACAAGGCTGTTCTTTCCAATTAGGAATTGAGGATCCGCATCTCCGTTGAGTTCATACTTATAAATATAGAAAAAACAATTAAAAACCAAGAAACAAAAATCAATTTTCAATTTAAGCATAATACTAGTTAGAATACAAAACATAAACTGAAATTAATAATCATAATAATTTAAAAATGAACCACCTTCGAACTCTTCATCTTCGAAATGGAGTTCCTCATAAAGTTGATTTGCAAAATGTTGATCCATAGCAAAAGTTACTAGAAGGAGAAATAGAAAAATTGAAACGGGGGAAGAAAGGAGAAGGAGAAAGACTGAAATTGTGGAAGAAATGAAAGCACAGATGAAATGGGGAAGAAAGGGATTTAAATATAGATACTGAGTTGGCGTCGGTTAAAACCGACATTGATTGCACTGACGTCAAATTAAAAGCCACTGGTGTTGAATTAAATGAAGCTTGGTGTCGGTTAAAACCGACACCAACTTCTAACACACTTTACTGATATGCACTTCGAATAAAATGAAGCCACTTCCGGACACACTTTATTGAAATTCATGTGGCGTTAGTTTAGATGAAATTTGGTGTCGGTTCTAACCGACACCATCTTCTGACACACTTTACGGATAATGAAACTTGCGTCGAATTAAATGTACTTGGCGTCGGTTAAAACCGACACTAAGTCTGACACTAACTACAAACTCTTCTCAATCCAATTCCTCATGCAAAACAAGCGAGAAAATTCCCGCCTAAATATTTCAAATTATCCGTTGTTGATTAATTCTTTATGTATTCAACCAGCTCAAATAAAATCCCTACAAAATTAAATTGTAAATAAAAATAAACATAAGAGAAAATAGTAAAAATAGTAGAAGCAAGAAAAACTTACTATGAAGAATAAGGAATTAATGAAGTTGGAAGAACAAATAAGAAAGATGCAAGAGAGAAAGAACAAAACACGGGGGATAGTTTATAAATTGGAAGAAGAAATAAGAAAGATGCGAGAGGAAGAAGAAAACATGGGGAGGGTATACAAAGGCTACCAATATGTCGCCTACAACCAACATTGTGTTTCAAACTATTTAAAAAAAAATTAAAATCCATGCCTACTACAACCGACACATGCTTTGAAAATATTTAAAAACTTTCATTAGTGTCGGGTAGAAGTGACACCAGTCTTCTTTTAACCGACGCTAACTTTATGTCAGTTACAAGCGACACGCTTTTCTTTATGCAACACCACTATTTAAAAAAATATTAAAATCTATGTCGGTTATAAGTGACATTAACAGTTTATGTCGGTTATAAGCGACATATACAATTTATATCGCTTATAACCGATAGTAATTCCGACATGTTAAGTAGGTGTCAGAAATGTCTTATCCGTCACTATATTATATAAACACACACCAACCACCGACACAATAAGGCCCTTTTGTAGTAGTGTGTGTAAATTAGTGTCACTGCTGAAGGGTTGTGATTAAGTTTGTTAGAGATCTTAGGCTCAAATGTGAGCAAGTGGCATTGTCTCGTAGGGTAGTGTTTGAATGGTTGAGATGAGTGATGAGTCAATATTATATTATATATTACCTTAATCTTAGTTTATTTTTGTTATTATTTTGAAAGAATTTTGATACTTTGAATTATATTTTTAATGCAGGAAGTGGTCAAACGGATGAATTTTGGAGTGATTTCAATTGGAAGATGTTCATGAGTATTTCAAGATGATTGTATCAAAATTCCAGATTTTTCTACCAAGCCGTTTGACTATGACGGAAAAAAAAAAAAAAAGACCTAGCGCACAACTTTCCCGAATTGACATTTCTAGACACTTTGAGTATTTGAAGTTCAAGATAGCATATTTTGACAACTTGATTAGTAAAAATAATGCGTGGGTGGATTTATTTAGTGTGTGTTAGATTCTTTTCCATCACAAATTACCCAAGTAATCTACCCGAAATAAATGTTTATGGATTCTGTTACATGTTATATGAGAGTAGATTTGGAAAAGAAAGCTAGGGCAGAAGTAGGCAGTGCTATGGAGATGGATGTAGGTACTTCTGGAGGAGGTTTGGTTCCGTAACCTTATATGGGGGATAAATAATAGGTTAGGGTTTAGAGTTTTTATAGGCCTTTTTTAAATATTTTGAGCTTAAAGTTTGGCAACACATTGGGTTTAGCACATTTTAACTTACAAATTGGGTTTAGAAAATAATACCCAAAACAAATAATTAAATAAAAAAATTAATTTAATTAATTCGATTCGGTTTAGTTCGGTTTCTAGATCACTAAAACCAAACCGAACCAAAAGAATTCGGTTCGGTTCGGTTTTTTCAATTCGGTTCGGTTTTTTCGTTCGGTTCGGTTTTTTCGGTTTCGGTTCGGTTTGGTTTTCGGTTTTTTTCGGTTTTCGGTTTTTTGAACCCACCCCTAATTTGAAGTTCAAGATGGCATATTTTAAGGAAGATTCCTTCTGATGATTTGTTAGAGACGTCTCAAGCTTTAAAAAGAAACCTTTTAGGACCAAATCAGAGTTGATTTGGTTGGTCAAAAGATGGATTTTCTCTGCAGTCCGAATTTAAGTTTAAATATGAAACATTTTATTTCCTAATTATCTTATTTTATTTGACCATTAGAGAACGCATTATTTTAGAAGACCTTTTCTAAATAGGATTTTATTTTGTAGTAGCATAAATAACTTTATTTGGCCATTAGAGAGATGAACACATTATTTTAGAAAAGGCACTACTTTCAAGAATTCAACAATTCAAGTTTATTTTCCAGGTGTTTTCCATCTATGATCTTAATAATATTTTGTTTTATAAAAGTTAGTAACTAAATTCCGTTGGCTAGGATGAGACCACGAGCCTTAGGACATTTGGAGATGCAATTTTGAAGGAGGGTTGTCCTTGGAATTGACTAAGGTTTCTTGTGATTATTACAACATGCCTTAAGAGTTATATGATTTTTTTTAAAGTTTTCTTAAAACTCAATGAGTCTTGCATGTTCGCATTTGGTCTGAATATCACGAACAAATTGCATGTTAGAAATACGTTATATATTTGCAAAAGCTTGATTCTCCTGCAAACTACTCAATCACTACAAAAATCTAATTCTGTCAACAATACAAGATTAGCTGCATCTACCCGAGTCACAACAAGATTAGCAGCATCAACCCGAGTCACAAAAAGATTAGCAGCAGCAACGACCCGGTTCGAGCGGTCCATCCGCTCCAAAACTGCAAAACCGATACAAACAACCTGCGAGAGGGCCGTTTTGAAACCCAAAACTCGTTCTTCCTATTGCGCCACCGTTCCTAACAACGTACCGCAAACACATGATTTGTAGGGGCATCAATTGCAATTGTAAATTGATGACGAATTAGAAAAAAATTTGGGACGGTTGGTAAGAATAAGGGAGCATTTTTGCTCATTACCATTTAATATGGTATATGCTTATCATACTATGAGTTACCATTAGATACTAATGGGTTTGAATTTTAAGATTCGTATGGTGAATAAGCACAAATTTCAAAATTCAAACTTATCTACCTATGATAAATAGAATGGTAAGAATACTCCATACAAAATGGTAGTGAGCAAAAATACACTTAACAATCAACAGAAGCAATTAACAACAAAACAAACAAGTAATCAAATCTTATAGGAGAAAAACAAAACAATTAACACAAAAACATTCGCAGTAATTATTAAAAAAATTAAAACCTCAGTTAAATCCATAAAATTCATATGAAATACAGCTTCGCCGAGGGGTTCTCCCTGTAAACAGGGTCTCAGTTCCACTGTACCTCGAACAAGCGGATTCAATCATCATCGGCAACACAATCATCAAAATCCCAACATAAAATACAAATCATCAAAAAACAAAATCAAATAAATTTACACACAAAGGGCTCAGAGTATGAAACAGCTCTCTCGATCACGAATTTTCTGAAGCAGAACTGGCATAAAGCTGTATATTTCAGTCATCAGCGCCACAATTAACCGAAAAATTCAACCTTTCAAACACAGAGACCAACAAATCACAAAACAAATTGGCTCATATCAAGAAATTCAACCATTTATTATCACATTCTACTTCATCGATTGCTCTCAGAAGCGCGGATAATTTGTAATCAAAGCCAAAAATTCAACAAAAGATATCAAAATCCACAAAAAAATAGAAAATTTAGCGGACGTTTTTAGAGGAAATACTATGAGAAGAGAAAAACCCCCACGTGTGACTCCGCCATTGGATTTGCGCCTCCATGACTAGCTCAGTTTTCGGAGATTTTTCAAAAACAGGCTTAAGGTGTGTCGAGGCGCATCGGATCGGACCGTATGAAACTGAAAATTGATAAAATTATTTAGGGTTTTAGGGGAGATGTAGCCGTCGATTTGACACAGAAAAGCCGTAGGGAAGAGCGAGGCTAAACTGCAACACTTGACGGCGACGTTCTAGCACGAGCATTGGGGCTTTCTTCTTCAGTGAAATATACTCTCAGAGAAGCCCGGGGTGCATCGTGCATGATTGCAAACTATAAATTGCAGAAATTAAAGATTAGGGTTTTGATTGTATGAAGGGGAATTGGGGGAATTCTGGACGAGAGGGCAGAGGAGGCTTCGATGGAGACTGGAGAGTTTGAACAAGGAGCGGGGGTTAGTGTTGTTTATATAGGCATCCAAAGCCCTACGGAAACCCTAGGGCTTGTTCTGCGCGATTGTTACGGCGCAAACGGCATCGTTTTAGCATTCATGGTCTAATAGTCATCTTCTTACGAATCTACCCCCTCTACGGTCTTTGTTCCACTTCGGTCCTTTTAATTTCAGTTGTTGCGTTTTGAACTCATATTGTTGCAAATTTGCAATTCAACCCCGCAATTCTGCAATTTTTTCAACACGATCATTACGCAAGAGGTATGTGTGGTGTTTTTACCTCAGACAAGTCCGATTTCCCTCAGTGTCACTCACGAGCTACTTACGATGCAAAGATCGACAAATTTAACCATGTAAGTAATATTGTCCTTGAATTGCATAAATTAGCACACTACAAAGTCTACAATCTACCAAGGGTTAACTCGAGACAACTGAAACTGCAGGACCAAAGCGGAACTTCGCTTAAACTACATGGCCTACAATCTCAGATAATGGTATTCTTACACTCATACTATCATCCATGTCAAATGCCGGTAGCCAGCCCACTTAGCAGCAAGACGAATTCCGATGGCTAAACCTGCACCAAGCAAGGGCATTCGAAGCTTCCTGTTAGCCACTACAATTTCCTCCTCCGTATCTGATACCTTCTTTGAGTGATGAAAAATGGCCAAGGCCAGATACGATGCGATCACCAAAACTCTAACCCATGGTTCTCCTATGGCAGACATCACAGCTGCCGCAGGCAATGCGGATGTAACATCATCCCTCTTTTTAACTAATCGTGAGTAACCGTAGAACCCTACTAGAATCGTCCAGAAGAAAGGCTCTGAGATGTAACCTGCCACTGCTGCGTAGCCTACTACACCAGATGCTGTGAGAAGAAAAGGTTTACAGCATTTGGAACAACAGCTTCTGCGATAGCAAGAACAGTTGATGCAAGTATGATCACTGTCGTCAACTCTGGAATTGGAGCGTATGCCACTATGCCAGAGTAGAAAGAGCGTATGGCATACAATGTTGTTTCTATGAATCTGATCACGGAAGTAATGGGATCACCAATGAAATGGAAGATTAGGGCCAGGATAAGTTTCAAGGGGTATCCAACAAAACGGACAACGCCCACAGCAGCCTTTCTCCAGTTAGCTAATTCCAGCAAGACGGCTCTCCATGCATAGATAAGGAAGACCAACGCTGCACGATCAATGACAAACAGTATTTAGTCAGCTCCATAAACTATTATAGTGCAATTTGTATTCATAGTAAAGTATTTTGAGAGAGTTAAGAAAATCAAGTTGCATTGGTTGTAAAAACTAATACGTGAAAGCCTCAACCGGAAACTAAATAACGAAACGATTTATTTCAGCTTCGATTGAGGCTTCAAAAAGTTATAACTAGAAAACATCTCATAACACCACTGATGTGTGCACGTATCAGGAATTAAATAGTCTAAACCAATACATTAAAGTTTCATCTCATCAGGTTAAGTACAATATCACATCAATAAAGTCAGTGCTCAGATCTGTTTTACTCTACAAACGAGTGCTTTCTTCCCTCTCTTAAGTAGTTTCTAAACTTCATAAGCATCCCGATTCACCAATTCGTTCTATACTCATACAATCGCAATGAAAAAGCATTTGTGGGAGAGAATGCTGTCAAGCATGAAGAAGTAAGACACATTAATCAGAGCACTAGTCTAAATCATCTCTTACAAACCCATTAGAAACGACAGTCTTCAATATAAACCAATAAACTTAATTGTGTTACATCGTGTGAAGATTAAGTCATGAAATATCCCCGATCAGACCGAATGTAAAACTATGAGAAAACACAATTAGTTGAAGTTTCAAACACATTGTAATGCCTACACATATTACAACCTTCTAGCTCATTTTTCAGATGCTGGTGACAAATTCATATACTTTTCTTCACATACGCTTCAAACATTTCTAAATTCGAGGAAAGTCTTGGTGAAAAATGTCAATATACTTTCTAACAAGAAATTAACCAAACAAGCTGTATTTATACATGGAAGCAAGTCCCTTCTGCTCTCAAAATATCTTGGGGTATTCGACAACAATCCCAAATACTCAAACTTTCTCTGTTTTCTCTCTTTCATTAACCAACATTTTCTCAGCAGCCAAACAGATAGTAAAAAGAAGAAGAAAGAGAGCAGAAGAGTTTACCTACAAGCCAAGGCCACCTGACAGGAGGGTCAGGAGCTTCCTTGGTCAAGTACCTGAACCGCTCAGGCATAGTACTCTCCCCTCTGCTCTCCTCCTCAGCTGCATCAACACCCTCATTTTTCACACTCGCACGAACCCTCAACTTTCTCTCAAACCAAAACCCATTTGTTTTCCAGGATACCCCAGGAAAATTCTGAGCTTGGATTCGGTTCAAACATTGGAATTTGGGTGAATTGCGAAAAGGGATTGTTTGGATATGAGGTTGGATTCTGGGGGGAGAAAAAGAAGTGATTTTGAGTCTGAGAATGGAGGGGGTTGGAGCGGAGAATGTGGGAATGGAAGTCGCCATGGCTTGGGATTAGAGAGGTTTTGCTGCCATTATCGGTAGCAGCGATGGAGCTGCAGAATTTGGTGTTTTGGGGTTTTGAAGGTTCAGACTTTTTGTATTATGGCCCGAAAGCACTTCACAATTGACCCATGTCACACTATTAGGTCCGGTCCGCTTAGACACGGAATGAAAATGGAAAGTGATTTTCGCACTCTCATTTTTTATTTTTTTTTCTGTAAATTTAAAGCCTTTAGATTGAATAAAATCAAACAAGAGAACATAAACAAGGTATACTGTATACATAAAGGAAAAAAGGTGTGCAAAAATTATGTTTTAAGAGAAAAAATTCAGTAGGACAAACCCCATTGGATTACACATGTTAAACCATAGGCTGGATGTACTAGGTGGCATTGTCATGTGGTGTATCTGATGAACATAATATTGTCTCCTTGTTTTGGTTCACCCAGACCATGTGTTTGGACTCAATTTTACATTTTTCGACCCAACCAATTAAAGCGGTCGGATGATTATGAAAATTAAGAGATTTTTCTTGGCATTACTATTGATTTTAATCATAGTAATTAGGGTAAATTACACAGTAGCCCCTCAGATTTTGAGGTCTATTACAACCACATACAACATCTTCAAAACATTTCACTTTCATACCTTAAGTACTATTTTATTTCAAAATAATACATCCGTTACATTTTTCATCCATTGATCCGTTAAATGCTGACGTGGCTATCACATGTATGCCACGTGGCTGCCAAATGTCTGCCACGTGGCAAATAAAAAAAATTTAAAGCCTGAATTTTCTTTTAAAAAAAAAATTAAAATTAAACCCACTATCCCTACCCCCACCCCCCAGCGACCCAAATCCCTCCTAACCCAGAATCCAAAAACCTACTACAGCAGCAAGAAGAAGAAGAAGAGGGAGGAAGAAGGAAAAAAAAAAATTCCCAAAACCCAGTTTCCCCCCCCCCCAGCGACCCAAATCCCTATCCCTAACCCAGAATCCAAAAACTTGCAGCAGCAGCAAGAAGAAGATGAGGGAGGAAGAAGGGAAAAAAAAAGTCCAGTTCCTTCCCCCCCCCCCCCCCGCGGCGCGACATCACCTCGCTCCCCCCCCCCCCCGCGCGACCTCACCCTCCTTCCCCCCCCCCCCCAAAATCTTATCCCCCTCATCCTCCTCTCTTCTCCCCGCAACCCCCCAAACCCATCTCCCCCATCTTATTCTTCTTCTTCCCTGCAAACCAGGAAAAAAAAAAATAACCCTCCAGATCCCGTATCGCCATCGCCGGATTTAAGGAGTGTGGAGTGTGTAGAGAAGGGAAGAGGGTGGGTGCGAAGGTGGGTGCAGAGGGAGGGAGGGCCACGGGTTGGGGGGTGCACAAGGAGGCTCGCAGGCAGGTGGGGGTTCTTTCTGGGTTTCTGATTTTTGGGGGTTGTGGGTTTCTGGGTTTTGGTTTGGGGTGGGGGGTTGACGGGGTGGTTTATTTCAACTTTTTTTTAATTATTATTTATATTTAGAAGATTTAGGTTTTAAAAATTAATTTTTTTTTGCCACGTGGCAGACATTTGGCAGCCACGTGGCATATATGTGGCAGCCACGTCAGCATTTAACAGATCAATGGATGGAAAATGTAACGGATGTATTATTTTGAAATAAAATAGTACTTAAGGTATGAAAGTGAAATGTTTTGAAGATATTGTATGAAGTTGAAATAGACTCCAAACCTGAGGTATGAAAATGTAATTTACCCTAGTAATTATCTTGAAAATAGCCTTAAAGCTTACAAAGTTATGCTTGGGATTCTTTTGCATAATCAAGGGTTTTATCGGATTGTGGAGAAATTAAAGGAGATCGCACAGTTGGATGCTTGCCAACCCTTTACAATTAATACGGCAGTAAGGAGAGTTATGTGAGGACTTTCCGTGCAGCTTTAGGATTCTATCCTAATCAAAATGGTATCTAGTCAGTTGCATGGATTCCATATTTGAATGGGTTTGCATGCAGAACCATGTGGAACAATGGTACAAGGATGCAACTTTGGATGATTAGCATATGGAAATGCCATTTCACCTGTTTGAAACATTAAGATGGTGATGTACCATGAAGATTAAAAGGTCCAATGCATCGCAGTGATTAACATTACGATATCACCAAAAGTCAGAGGAGAATGTATGGTAGTTCATGATTATTATTTCACAAGGTATGGTTCACGGAGGACTCTGCAACTTGGTTACCTAGTCATCGTGAAAGTTCACCCTTATAAATACAGACAATCTGCAATGACGAAAACTCTCTTCAAATCAACACACAAATTGCCATGTACAAAGCTTCTCAACAACTCTGAGATTTTTTCCTCTCCCCTTTTCTTTTCGCCAACACATCTTCAATTTGGATAGACAGCACTATGAAGGCAACCGACGACATCTTCAGTTTGGATAGACATCACTGTAGTCGTAGAATCAGCCAACTAAGGAGCACCTTCAGTTTGGATAGACAGCACTGCTTCGAGACTGACTGGCTATTTATCCAAGTCTCGGTTAACAAGGATTTCAGAGTCTTTGTTGGTAGAGGTCATATCATCAGCTTTCTCGGCGAAGTGAGGTGTTACCAGGTTACTAGGCTCGTCACATTGAAAGCCAAGTTTTATTTTATGATTGGATATTCATAAGTACATTTTCGAGTTCGGCATTCCGACGGCCGAACCACATTTACAATCAAGACATTTATCACTTTTGAGTATTTGTGTCTGTACAATCTGGTACCAGTTCAGCGTACGTATACTCTCACGAATATAATTACCCAGACCAAATCTGGCGTCGACGATTTGTGAACTTCGAAGAAACTAGCAGCCTTGTCTTTAGGCTCTAGACCCCAAAAGCCGAGACATGTTCCTTCCTCGGCCGCAGTCGCGAGATCAAGAAGTTAGCAGCGCGCCCAACGCCACATCAACATATTTTACTCCCCGACCGACTAGTTGGTAGGCCCTGCACACAACCGAATGACGTAGTTAGCTTATTAGTTACTCGGCCTACGTGTCATGTAGGCTTAGTAGTTTTTAAGGTCAACACCATGACAACTTCTTATTGGGTGATCACACATGATTGACTATGTGACGCTGAACATTCACTATTTGCACATTTTTGTTCTCTTGCAATGCGGTTGTTTTAAATCCCAAATACATTGAATAAAGGGCTTTAATTTTGTTAGGGATGATACATGACATGTACGAATGCATTGGTGATAACAATTCTAAGACGAATGAAATCCCTTGATTCAACAAGGCAGCTCACATACAATGTTGAGTTGAGTCGTTCAGAAATGCAGTATTGAAAAAGTGAAGAACAATTCTAGACAGAGACACTTCTGTTGGATCGTTGTAACTGCGTGCGTTCTTCATCCACGCAGCGCAAAATAACTCAAGAATATATTTTTACATATACATCCGGGGACCTAAAGCAACTCAATGTATCTTCACCCTTCACCGTCTTCAAAATTCAGTAAAAAACCAGAAAAATCGTGTTGAAAAAATGAAGACATCTTGAAGCTTGCCACTGGTTCGAAAAGCACGGCATTATACTGAACCCCGTTTAGGTTTAATTAAGTTTTTTGGCCTGATATTTGACAGGAGAAAGCTGTTCGCAGTAAGGCGAAGCCTGATAACATTCCAACACCTGATATTAGTCTTGATAAACCACCCAACTAGTGCCAGATGATGCTTTCACTCCCTTCTCCTTCATTTTCCTTCTCATTCGTTGCGCTTCCTCATGCCTGCCTAAGCCAGAATACATTCTTGCCAATAGTAAATAATTGGCAGGATTATCAGGTTCAATTTCGGACAGAGCTTTCCCTGCAATCTCAGCAAGGTCCAAGTCTCCGTAAGTTCTACATGCTGAAAGAAGAGCACCCCAAGCTTTAGCAGTCACCTTCACCGGCATTTTCCTTATGATCTCATATGCCTCATGCAACCTCCCTGCTCTGCTCAGAACATCTACTAAACAAGAATAGTGATCACTATTTGCTTGCACACCATAAACCTCACGCATCCGACCAAAATAATGCAGTGCTTCATCTGCTAATCCTTCAGCATGGCTGCATGCCTTCAGTACCGCAAGAAAAGTAATCTCATCAGGCTCTACTTTCCCCAATTCCATCTCTCTGAAAATTTCCAATGCAGCTCTTGCCTCCCCATGAAGTGCATATGCAGATATCAGACTACTCCATGCAACCACATCCTTTTTCTTCATATAGCGGAACAGATTACGCGCATTTGCAAGACAACCACAGCGCCCGTAGGCCTCTACTAGGCCACTACTCAATTGGGAATGCGAGTCAATCTCATTTCTCACATCATAACCATGAATTTCCTTAATAAACCTTAAAGCCGCTATATCAACAAAAGCACGTAACAGAGCAAGCAGCGTTATTAAATCCGGTTCCCTTCCGCACGCTCTCATTTTCCTATAGAACTCGACAGCCTTAAACGACCCATCATCCAATCCTGACATACCAGATATAATGGTATTAAAAGTTGACACATCGGGTTCAACATCCATTGCCTCAAACAATCCCAAAGCATCAAACACATTACCGTTACGCGTATAAAGCGATATCATAGCATTCCACACAACAACGTTCCTGTGAGCAATTTCATCAAACAGGTTGCGTGCGGTCGACAATGACACGCACTTGCCATACATGTCGACAAGAGCGGAAGCCACAAATGGGTTTGATAGGATGGAAGATTTGGCGACGTGGGCATGGACGGAGACGCCGAGTTGCGGGCGGTGGACGGCGGAGCAGGACTTGAGAACAAGAGAGAAGACATGGGGGTCGAGAGATAGAGCCAGTGAGGTCTGCATGTGGTGGAAGATGGAAAGGGCTTCGTCATGACGACCTTGGCTGACATGGGAGGTCAAGAGCTTGGTGAAAGAAAGCAACCGTTGGAAGTTTGATTGGTTGTAGGACCCCATGTTGTTCTGTGCTTTGGGGATCAATCAAGTATTTAGCATTGAACAAGCAAGTTTAGTTACATCTTTGTTCCCTGATTTAGGGGAGGGACTTGGAAAAGATGCCCCATGTTGTTCTCTGTCGCATCATGTTTTTTGCACAATGTTTTATGATATTGGTACGATAATGTTAAATTGTAAGGTGACAGAGAGTCCATAAAGAGCTACACTTTTAAAAAAATCTCCTTAACATTACATTGTATGTTATTAAAGACTAATGCTAAGGAGATTAAATTTTTAGACTACGTTTGTATATCATGTGATGAGTTATCAATAAGAAATAGGCACTTAATCAACACTTAAATATCTTATCATCAACAACAATGTCATATGACTCACAAAATATGGTTTAAATAAATGGTATCTCTAGCATATTTTGTAAACCATATGACATGTTTGTTGACGATTAAATTACAACTTAAATGATGATTAACGTGATTATTTCCTATATGTGACATATTACATAATTTACAAACATAATCTAAGAAGTTGGTTCGATCTAGATGTCACAGGCTCAAATGTTATATTGACTTGAAATTCTAATTTCTCAAGTTGCCCAATATTTTCCATATTTACAAATGAGATGAGACTTTCTTGCTGATTCCCGCACTTACCCTTTTACTTTTAACAAAGTAAATGTTTTTTCACCTACCCTTTCAACTAAATAAGGCGAGAAGACAAATATCACCTCTCTTTTTTCAACATAAGTGACATGTGACATTGAGGAGAAGGAGAATCGAACAAATAACTTAATGTAATTTGTTTTGCACCTGAGGTTGCCGACATTATTAATAAATTAAAATAGTTTAGAGTATATTGTTAGAAAAAATTAAAAAAAAATCAAAACAAAAAGAAATTATTAGTTTACGAAATTTAGACCAATCCCACATTTCTTTCTCAAAACAACTAAATCTTCAAATTCACCCCTATATCCTTAAAAGAAAAAGTATGATTAAAAAAAAAAAGAATTTTAACGAAAAACTCACGGTACTGTTTACTGTAACGAAAAATCACATATTTACACTCAAAAGTCAATCATAGTATCATTCACTTTACTCTTTATTCTGTCATTATCGTTAAAACTCAAAGTTTTCAAACTCTTTTTATTAATTTTTCTTTAAAAAAATCCTTAAAAGAAAGAGTATGATTAAAAAAAATGAATTTATTATTAGCACTTTGTAACATCATCATGCACTTTTTTTCCTTTTTTGGCAGGAAACAATTATGGATACTCAAGGGAAGAACCAAATATTGAACAACAGATTTCGAGTGTATGATGAATGTATATATTTTATTTTATTTTTAAACGATTTTGTTAGATTAAATGTTAGATTAGTCATCGATGAGATTTGAACGCACGATATCATGCAATGACTCAACATTTTTCCATCACTGTGGTAAATGACCATTTGCGTATGATGAATATTTTAACCACTTGAACTACAACCACCGTAAAAACGTACTACAAAATAATTTTTCCCTCAAAATAACCAATACACCACTAAAAATGGAAACGTATGCATAGACCCCTGAAGTTTTGGTAATTACAACAAAGACCCTGAGGAATACCATAAAAGAGTGGGCCATATACTTGCGGGGAAAGAAAGAAAAGCCGACTGCACCAGAGTTTCTAAAGAGTGCGAGAGAAACCACAACACATCTCGAGAAGCCATGGCGATCGCCTTGGGCTGCCGCCTCAGCGTTCTTGCCTCCCGGTACGTTTTCTTCCTTCTCACAGCTACACTTTCTTTCGTAGTTTCGTTCTCCGAAAATCAACAAAATTGGAACCAAAAAAAAAAAAAAAAAAACGATTGTTTATGTTAATCTCCAGAGAAAACGCTGTATTATGCTAAAAGTCGTTTCTTTTTTTGGAAAATTAGATTCAAAAGAAGGAACCAATTCTGGGTTTCGTTTGCCTCGCCCTTTTTTCGCTTTTCGATTTCTTAATTCCTGGAAAAGTGAAGAATTTGGTTTTTTTTTTTTTTTTTTTTGGTTGGGGGGGGTGGTTGTTATTTGTTAATGGTGTTTGTAATGTTTTTAAATAATTATTTCAGTGCTTTAGCTGTGGTAGGTTGTTTCTGAGTTGTTTTTCTTGATGAAAGATTTTGATTTTATAATTTTCGGAGATTAGGAACGAAAAATTTCTTCGGAGTTAGAGAGTTTTTGATGTTATGTAAGAGGGACAATTAGGAATTTATGAAAATTTGAATGTGATTTAGAGGTTTGTTACATTACATGAGCTGAATATTGGTCCGTAATTTTAGCACTCTTCTTTTAAGCTCAACCTTAAATTCAAGGTCGAAAAGTAGGTCTGTTGGTAATTAGCATGATCTAAAATATCCATAATATCCCGATATTTTCATTGAAATTTCCGTGTTTTTGGACTACCGATATTTTTTTGGACTACCGATATTTCCGATATCATCGATATTTTAGACCTTACTAAGTCACTCATGTATCTTACCATGCAATGTATAAAGTGTAAAATATTGTACTAATTCATTATATATAAATGATTATGGTGTGTTTAAACTTCTTTCATTAATTACTACATAATTTCTACACTCACAATGTTTGCCAGCTTGCTATATAATCAACTTAAATAAGTTATATCTATCATGCAATGCATTTCCTTCCAATTTTTTGTGATAAACTAATAGATAATTGACTAAATAAACATCCTGCAAAATTTCAATAAAAATTTCCAAATTTTTCTTACAATTTCCGTGGTTTTTATTCAATTTTTATCGATATCGATAATATCCCGATATTTCCATCGAAATTTCCGTGTTTTTGGACTACCGATATTTCCGATATCATCGATATTTTATACCTTGGTAATTAGTTGTTGATTTCTCGTTTATAGGCGTATGAATATGATATCGATTTAGAGATTCTTGGCAATGGAATATGAGTTGTGTTTCTGCTGCATATTTAGATTCTTGGCAATAGAATATGATTAGTTTTTATGGGCAATTTTAAGCGGTCTGAAGTTTTGGTGAAGCCTTCTTCCTCTGTTTGCTTGCAGGATTAACATTCTCCGAGATTCTTAATTTTACTACTTTTTTCATTGAGTTAATATATCATTTGTACTGTTTTCATTATCGCTATAAGTGTGATTAAGTATGGGACACACTTGAGTTGCCTTGCTTTAGGGTAATATCACGGTAGAGTTATACTTTAAAATTCTAATCTGAAACAGAGTGTGACATTTGGGAACATCTTATTTGTCTGTGTTAAGGGAAGCCATAACTAATTTCTAAAATTTGTATTTGGAGGATCGGAATGACTTTCCAATCAGTAAGTGATGGTGGAGATACAGATATAGGGCTGAGATCATGCATGGTTCTACATAGATCTGAAATTGGTTTTGTTGAATCTTTAATTACCAAAAGAAAAGATGATATTGAGCTTACAGAATAGTCGTGTTAGAGATGTTATGTGAGGAGCTTTTTCCGAGGCTTGGAAGACAGATTCTAACCAGTTTCAATTGTTCCTGAGTATTTTTACAGAGTACGGCAGTTTTGTTTTTTATAGTCTTGAGATCCACCTTTTCTTTTTCTGGTCTGGAATAGGGACAATTATTAGCAGCATTTGAGCAATAAAACAAGAGTGTTGCTAAGTGTATATGATTGTTTCCCAGCTCATGTTAATCAATTATATTATATTGGCCTTTAACTAGGTACAAGGATGTGAATCTAAAAACACAGAACAAGCGCAATGGGGTTGCATGCAGTTCTAATTTGAATGCAATGCCTATACTGTCAAGCAGCAGGAGCCTACAGCTTAGTCACAATCTGCATTCTTGGGCTCCGAAAGGTATGCAAAGTTTCTTGTCGAGTATCATCTTTGTTTCTCCTATAACCTGATTGAAATGAATCAGTTGCTTGTGTTAGGAGCTCTCTTAATATGTTATGTATAACAGAAGCAATGCTTTTTAGATAGGAGCATCTTTGAGATTGTTTATGTCCTCATTCTCCCAAACTTGTAATTTTCAGGATTGCCGAGCTTGCACATTTCTTCTACGTCATCCACACTGTTAAGAGGGGATCAAGGCAATCAGTCACACAACATATCCGTCTTACCAAGACAACGGAGATCTTCAACTTTGGCACAAGCACAGAAGAGTAACTCAATCAGTATACCTTTTCCGAAAATGAAAGAGAAGCCGGAATGGTGGTGGAGAACTTTAGCATGTCTCCCCTACTTAATCGCTTTGCAGATGTCTGATGCCGGGTTTTATATTCAACCCTTAGCAGAACACTATGAATTGTTTGGAGACTTGGTTTATTATGTCCCAGGAGCAATAAAGAGGTTACCGTATTGGTTCACAATGATATATTTCTTCTTCGCATACTTTGGAGTGGTGAAGAGAAAAGAGTGGCCTCACTTCTTCAGGTACCACGTAATCATGGCAATGCTATTAGAAACAATGCTGCAAGTAGTGTGGTACTCGAGCAATTTTTTCCCGCTTATACACTTCAACGGCACATTCGGCATAGAATACTGGGCGGTCGTGGCAGTCGTGTACGTTTCGGTCTTGCTCGAGTGTATAAGGTGTGCTCTTGCCGGCAAGTATGTTAAACTCCCATTCTTTAGTACCCCTGCTTTAGTCCATACTCTTTTCCAAGTAGAAGGATACCATAAACCTTTCTGAAGGGTTGTGTTATTATAAATTGATTATTTGGCTTATTTTCTTATGTATTATTATACAAGACTGGCGGAGCCTAGTAGCATGGGTTTGTAACTAAGCAGGGCATTGAAGTAATTGATTGTTTAGATTATACGAGACTGTCACACAAAAACGTATGAAATACAATCCTCTGGTTTACGTATTGGGGAGTGTTTGTGGACTTTTTTTTATTGAACCACTGTTTCTGTTTTCGGTAGGTTTTGGACAAATTAAAGGCCAAAGCTGGCCTAAAATTGATCGGACCTTTTTAGCAATGTTAATGGAAGATATATATTCAATGGTAAATGTCACCAAGCTTTTAGAAACGAAATCTAAGCCTAAGCACGTTAGACGTTACTCACCTTGGATCAAGGGAAAAAAAAAGCGTTCGATACAAGAGATGGCTAGTTTTGAAGTGCTTTTAAAATAATTGAAAGCGTTTTTTGTAAAATTGATTTTGATATGTGCCAAGTATGTGCTTTTTGCAGGAAGCACTTCAAGTGTTTTCCATAATCCACTTGAATTTTTATTGAGGATTGATTTCAGAAACATTTGCACTAAAAGCACTTTCAAGCATTTTAAAAGCACTTCTAAACGAACTCAGGAATTAGCAAAGGGAGATAGTGTTTAGTTTTTTGAGAAATGGTAAGGAGACGATGGATTCTCTATGAACTCTTTGTCACTTCATGTTTTTTCACACAATGTTTTATAATTTTGGCACAGGAATTGACGTTAATTGTAAGGTGGCAGAGAGTCTTACTTTGAAAAATGTCTCTTTAACATTTCTCTTTTTTCTTTTGTCATAAATGGGTGGAATTGAACTGTATATCTAAGAGGTTTTTTTTTTTTTTTTTTTTTTTTGTTCTTTCTCTTTGAGGTATTCCAAAGGTGAGTTGAGCATACATTATCTTGCCTAACTGGTCTAACTCATGTTTATATAAACTTAATATAACCAATTTTAATTCATTTTCTTGATATATATTTTACCACTTAGAGCCAGTCCGCACAAGAATTACGTCTTTCTTTTAATTGAAGAGGATGTCATTGTAATATCATAAGTCAATTATTGTGGTACTACATGGTTGATTTCATACTCTCACAATGACGTCACAGGTATCCCTTACTACAGTTATGCTAAGTAACTATGGTATTGGTGCTTTTGAGTTTTAGGCCGGATCAGTCACTCAAGATCTTTGGTCTTTACCCTAACTTGAAAAAATGGGATCACTTCTTATGAATTTGTTGAGGATAATCCTAATCTAGTTTATAGTCTATTAGAAGTAGAAGACGCTCTAGTGCGATTCTCACATACAAAAAGATTGCAATCTCGTTATGTAGAAGCTCTCCTCGTTTGATCTATTTATATCATAGTAAACTTATTATTGTTCCTATAAAATAGAATTTATTTTTGCCAATAATGTGGAGGTAACCATCACTTAACCATCGAGGAAAGAGACTTTGAGGGATGAAACGAAAATGACATCACCAAATTGAATTAAGTCTTCTACTAACCTTTGTTTGTTTCGCTTCAATATGCTATTTTCATCTCAATAAAACCAAATAAATACAAACAAAAATAATAAGAAGCAACCGCATCAAAATTTTCAATTTTTCTTGAGTGGTCCGAAAAATTAACTGTTAGATCTTGTATTTAGAAATTTTATAAAACCTTGCAACGTTTAGATCTTGCATAAAACTCGTATGATACTGAGTGAAATGTAATATTGTAACCGTACTTCAAAATTTTGAATCCAACTACAATGATGTGAATTTCATGCAATATCTAGCGTTGCTAAAATATACCAAATCTCCATATGCAATATCTAATAGTTAATTACTTTGGATCACTGAATAATACAAAGGGGAGTGTTATGCAAACACTACTTTTTACTTTTCACGCACATTTGTTAGTTTTTGTTCATGAAAGAAAATGGGTAAAAAAAGATGAATAGGTGGAATTCGTACCCCCCTAATGCAAATCATGAAACAAAAATTAGTAACTTTAGAAGGAAAAAAAACAAAAAAAAAATAAATAAAACTGTACTAAAAAAATTAATAAATAAAACAGAGAAGCAGAAGCCACGCCACTCCACACACATAATTACAACACACGAACTCCCCGAACAACAATTGTTGTCTCTCTGCGAAAGACGATGGAAGACTGAGAAGCAGAAGAAGAAGACAGATAAAAACTCCTTTCTTTCTCAGTAAATCTCTTCCCAATCCAAAAACCCACCACAGATTCAACCCCCACAACCCTAAATTCCCATCCCCAATTTTCCTCATGTGACAAGATCCAATCCCCCCAAGTTTTGATCCGGATTGCGATCTCTGTCCGGAAGGCTGCAACTTTCCGGGAAACAAACGGGTATTCTGGACGCTTCAGATTTGGAAGCAGTGGAGAAATGAGGCGGAGAGCCGCGGACTTCCGGCGGCCGCTGCGGCGGCGGTTCCCCAATGCCTTCTGGTGGGCGCTGTGCGGGGTTGCGGTTTTGCTCTTCGTTTTTACTTTGAGCAGAGTGAATCAGATGGAGTCCAGGCCTGTCATTCCCACGGTATGCGTATATTACTTCTCTACCCTTTTTGTCGTTTTTGTGTTTAGTTGGGTGTTTGAACACTGTTTGGTTGCCTAGAAAATGTAGGAAAGTGGAGGGTTTGGAGTATTGGATGATGGGTTTCTGAGTAAGTTGGGAGCTGGGGTAAAAAAAATGCTGAATTGGGTTGTGAGTTTTCCATTTTTTGGGAGCTAAAACAACAAAGGGATGTGAGCTTTAGGATTCAATAGTATTTTCCCTTTACTTGGTGTTCTTAGTTAGTAGAGCAAGGATTTGATTTTGCATACGTGGGTTCGGTTCGATTAGAGACAATGAAGTGTTATTCAGTTCGGATTTAGGTTGATCTAGATGTCCTCTGATATAATCTTATTATTTCCAATGATTTCTTCGAAGGGGCAGAAGACTCTGATTTCAATGTAATAGGGGTTGAGTGCACAAGATCTATTGGGTAGGAACCCGCTACTTTCTGATCTATATTGCTATTGTGTATATGTATATGAATTTAAGTGAAGGAGGGAACTAATGCCGTGGCAAGGGCATAAACCGGAAGAGTACTAAAATAAATTTTTTATTTGGGGAAAGGGATTCCGGTGTATTTGACTGAACTTGCTTGCATTAAATTTTTCGAAGTGGAATAGAAATGTTTGTTGAATCATATAAAATGATATGGATGTGCGTGGTTATGTCTTTTTCAGTGTTTCAAAGTCTGCTCATGTTGTGGATTCTTGTAAAATGTATAGACTTGATTAGATCCATAGAAGAATCTAGAGATTTTATTGTCATCACAAAGTCAAGGTGGATGTCACCGTAAAGTGCAGTAAGTACATGGAGAAGTGAATGCTATAGTATCAAGAAAAGGGACTTTAAGACAGCACATTTACTGTGGTATGGCCAGAGTTAACTCATACAGATAACTTATACGACTTGATGATCTACTTTCGACTGATGTCGAGTTAAAATATCTAAAACGCTGGCTGAATCCTAGCATTCTGAATTGGAAGTGTATCATGACACAAATCATGTGGTCTTGATGCAAGATTGCTGGGAAGCTGCTCTTATGTGACGGGCACCAATAAAATCCTTCCATATATTGGAAGACGAAATAAATCTTTGTTCTCTTCTTTTCTGTTCTGGAGGAGTGATAAATATGCATTTTTTCCCCCTTTACCTTTTTCCAATTTATTTTGCAAACCTTAATAAAATATGTGCTTGTTTTCCTTTCTCAGAGGTTCAGGAATGATAGAGTTATGGAAGGCCTTAATATTACCGACGAAATGCTGAGCCCCAACTCAGTTTCAAGGCAGCTCAATGACCAAATTGCTCTTGCAAAAGCTTTTGTTGTGATTGCCAAAGAAAGTAACAACCTTCAGTTTGCTTGGGAACTAAGTGCCCAGATTCGCAGTTCGCAGATCCTGCTGTCAAATGCTGCAACCAGGCGAGTTCCTCTGACTATTAGAGAAACGGAAACTGCAATCCGTGATATGGCACTTATACTTTACCAAGCACAGCAGCTCCATTATGATAGTGCAACCATGATCATGAGACTGAAAGCCAAAATCCAAACTCTGGAAGAACAGATGAGTTCGGTGAGTGAGAAAAGTTCTAAGTATGGACAAATAGCTGCTGAAGAAGTCCCAAAAAGTCTCTACTGCCTTGGTATTCAGCTGACTAGTGAATGGTTCAGAAGCCCGAATATACAGAGGAAAATTAAGGACAGAAAGCAAATAGAAATGAAACTGAAGGATAGCAATCTCTATCATTTCTGTGTTTTCTCTGACAACATCCTAGCAACTTCTGTTGTGGTCAATTCAACTTCGATGAATTCCAAAAATCCAGATAAGATTGTCTTCCATCTCGTAACTGATGAAATCAACTATGCTGCAATGAAGGCCTGGTTTTCTATAAACAGCTTCAGAGGGGTGGCCGTCGAGGTTCAAAAGTTTGAGGATTTTACGTGGTTGAATGCTTCTTATGTTCCTGTACTTAAGCAGCTCCAAGACACTGATACTCAGAGTTATTATTTCTCTGGAAATAGTGATGATGGGCGGACACCAATCAAGTTTCGAAACCCAAAGTATCTTTCTATGCTTAATCATCTGAGGTTTTATATTCCGGAAGTTTTTCCTGCCCTGAAGAAGGTGGTATTTCTGGATGATGATGTTGTGGTTCAGAAGGATCTGTCTGATCTGTTCTCCATTGATTTGAAAGATAATGTCAATGGTGCGGTGGAGACATGCATGGAAACATTTCACAGATACCATAAATATCTGAACTACTCTCACCCTCTCATAAGAGCTCATTTTGATCCTGATGCATGTGGATGGGCATTCGGGATGAATGTTTTTGATTTGGTTCAATGGAGGAAAAGGAATGTCACCGGCATCTACCACTACTGGCAGGAAAGAAACATAGACCGGACATTGTGGAAGCTCGGCACACTACCACCTGGGTTGTTGACATTCTACGGATTGACAGAGCCTTTGGACGCCTCGTGGCATATTCTGGGTTTGGGCTACACAACCGTTGACCCTCACTTAATAGAGAAAGGTGCTGTGCTGCACTACAACGGAAACTCAAAACCATGGTTGAAGATCGGGATGGAAAAGTACAAGCCCCTCTGGGAGAAATACGTTGATTATGGTCATCCGTTACTGCAACGGTGCAATTTCCATTGAGATTTCAGGCATGGAAGTTTCGACTCTACCACGACAGGTTTGGTGTGTAAAGGAGACGTAACCTCTTTGAGGGCATGGATGAATGCTTGCATAATTTTTGCAGGATGAAAGCATGGATGGATGGGTAGTGGTTGTAAGATGGGTGGGGCTATTTATTTGATCTTACTGGTTGTGTTGTAGTATAGTCTATAGATGATGATTTACTTCATAGAGTAAACTGTCGATTTGCCCCCTGAACTATCACCCAACTTTCGATTTCTCCCTGAACTTTTTAATTGAAAAATTAAGGACTTAAACTAATTTTTTGGCCGATTTCCCCCCTACCGTTAGTTTTTAATAGATTTCATCCAAATTAACGTTAAATCTTATCATGTGCAAACCACATAACTCTCATTTGTGGACAAAAGCGTTACATCACTAAACATTCAAACACAAAAACTATAGAATCATACATATTTGCATAGGTTTATATTATAGAAATCTAAGGTTTTTAATTATTTTAAAGAATGAAGCAATCGAATTACCCACACATGTTGTGCACATGCTTCCATTTAACAGAATGAATGAAAAATTAACAGTAGGGGGTAAATCGGTCAAAAAAATTAGTTTAAGTCCTTAATTTTCCAATTAAAAAGTTTAGGTGGGAAATTGAAAGTTGGGTGATAGTTCAGATGGTAAATCGGCAGTTTACTCTTACTTCGTATAAGTCATTCAGGTTGTTAATGCTAACCACTATTCCTCAAGAACTATTTTTGGCAGTATCTGTGGTATAATATTAATATGTTGAACTGCAATATTTGTATCCTTATAAATTGTTTGATCTATTTTATTTATTTATTAATATTAAGTAGAGATGAGGGTTTGAAATTATTATAATAATTTGGGAGAGAAGGGAGTCCAAACCCTAGATATGGGTGGAAACCCAACATTCTATCTACTAAAATATTGGACCACATGCTTATTTGATCTATTGGTTGGTCAAGTTCTATAGAAAATCCCACACCTTTTCTAATAAAATCTATCGTTTTCGTTTACTCTTCAATTTATGATTTTGGATCGAGCAAAGCAAAGGAGAATGAAGACGCAAGCATAAAAGGATGTCTAGAACGAGAAAAATGGTGTGTAGAAATCATTTTCCTATCTTTTCTTCACGTGCTAACATATAGTTTTATGATTTAACAAATGAGGCACAATCACGGCAAACTGAGTTGGCAAACCATAGAGTAGCAAAGTTGGTTAGAACTCCCTCATTTGCACTCAAGTTGTAATATTTTTTTTTAACAAACGATATTATTTACACTAAGGGGGTGGAGGTGACTTAGCCTCACAATAAGTTAGCAATAATGTGGTTCAAATTCGTCTTTGGCGATAATCGAACCAAAAACCTCTCACTTACAAGTGGAAAGGAATACCACTAGACCGTAGTACCGAGTGGTCACTCAAGTTGTAGTTTAGATTAAAATATTGCTCGAATGCCAACCGTGGTAGGAAAATGTGAAGTCGATTTTTTAACCCATAATACTTATACCTCTACCTGTCATAGATGGTAATCGATTGATATATAACGTGGAATGGAAAAATAACAAATAATAAAAAATAGGGATCTGGAACAACAAGGTCGTTGTAGTATAGTGGTAAGTATTCCCGCCTGTCACGCGGGTGACCCGGGTTCGATCCCCGGCAACGGCGTTTCAGTTTTTGAATTTTAAGCTGTTTATTATTTTTATTTCTTTTTTTCAGAGGCCGAGCTGCTGTTATCTCTGGCTTGTGATGTGAGAAGCTCACCAACTTACACAAAGTTTGACTTTTCTAGTATTTCACGACCCCCTTGTGCGTGCATGTAATTATTTGGTAGCTCTAAGTTCGCTTTTGCTCACCCGTAATTCAAAGTAACTGTTTATCTTCATAGAATTAATGTAACCACTATACTTTCTTTTAGAATTGTGTCACGTCTATCTAACTTGAATAATTTTAGGAGACCAAAATTTTTAAATAATTTTACAAACCAAATGATGTATAACTAACAAAAAAACAAAGCACGTTGATTGACACTGAATTAGTAATTCAATCATCTCTAACCATATCATTTAGTTTACAAATTTGGTTTAAAAGATTTGATCTCCCTAATATTACCCCTATAACTAACTACGCTTATATTTATGCCTCCAACTCCAACTCCAACTCCAACTCCAACTCCAAGCTTACCAATCATACAAAATATATAAAAGGTCTCTTAGTTTTATCGAATTCGAAATTGACTGTTTCTTTCATATGATTTGAGATTAATTTATCACTTGAATTTTATTTACAGTAACAAAGATAAAACAATTAGCTTACATAAACACGCATATTCATATTAATAACAAATTTAACCCAAAAATTAAATACAAATTAACAAATACCACGTGTATTGCAGAAGCCCACAAAAAACACAATTTGACAAATGGCAGATTCCAAATAAACCCCTTGTTATCTCTTAACTTTGCCGGCTCAGTTCATTTCGTTAACTCTTATATATATTCACTCCTTCCACCACCCAAAGCGAAAACATTTTAAATTTCTAAAGATAAATTAGTTGTATTTAGCCATTCTTTCATGTAAACACCAATACGATTAAATAAAGTGCATGGAGCATTGCTACGTTTGATAAATTTTACGTAATTCCAATAAGTAAATACGATACATATAAGCATTACTATAATTATTAAACATGATGTAAATTTTGACAAAAAACAAACATGATGCAAATATCTAAATTCATTTACGTTTATCGATATTTTGTAGCGATAGTTTGTTTCTAAAATTTATCACAAAATTATAACGATTTAACATTCTTTGTTTGACCTCTCACACTCCTACTTGAAGTTAAGATTATTATTATTTTTTGTTCACTGTAAAATATTCAATTTGGAGCGCAGAAAGAAAATTTGATGCAAATCAATTTTGTTTTATTGGCCACATATTTACCAAGTCAGCCTCGACGAGGGCATTTCAGTAATCCCACCTCGAATATCCCACAAAACCCCCTCATATGCCGGCAGAGGATCTAATTTGCCGCCATTTCAAATGTGGTTGTTTGTTTTTGGTCTCATCTCTTTCCCAAACAAACGCAGACAAATCAACTTCTCAAATCCTTCAAAACACTTCTCTCTCTCTCTCTCTCTCTCTCTCTCTCTCTCTCTCTACATACACACACACAGAATGAAGAACGATCAAGTGGTGACAGACCAATCCCACAAACCCAGAAGAGCCAAATCCCGCGAAGTAAGCTCGCGGTTTCTATCATCGCCAACCACCACAGAAACCACCACGCTCCCGTCGCCGAACCATCCCATCTCGCCGGTACGGCGCAAACCTGTTTCACCTTTCTCCGATGCCCGAAAGCCCAAAACGCAGCTCGACGATTCGGGCCCCACCCGCGGACTATGGCCCTCTTCAAACTCGTCGCACAAGAAGCTCGACACTCTCGCCGACCAGCTCGGAAACGACAGGCGCGAAGATCGCGTCCAACGTAAGGATTCAATCTTTGACAGAGGAAGGAGCTGCAGAGAGTTTGGTTCGTTGGATAATCCCAAAGAGAAAGGGAGAGAAAGCGCCAAAGAACGTCACATACCGTTTCTTGGCGGGTCGATGAGATACACTGGAAAGTTCAGGTTTTCCAGAAATTCTAACTCTTCTTCTTCTTCTACTTCGTCGTCTTCCAGCAAGTTTTCAAGCAGTTCGAATGTGGCAGCTCCTCGGAGATTTTCAGTGGACGAAAATGCTCTGTATCAGAAACAATCTCGGAGAAATTCGGATGGTTTCCCGGATACCCTTGATTCGGAATCAGAGTGCAGTGACGGCTCTTCAGGGATGATTATGGGGTCTCCGAATGTTGGTTCAGCTGCTCGGAAATCGGGTGTAGAGGTTTCTTCCAAGTACATGAATGAGATACCTTTGAGGCATCGAAGAGGGACGTCGGATTCTAACATCGCAAATCCGATATCGGGAGATAAGTCTCCGAAGCCGAACAAATTCACCATTAAAAATGTGATGAGGAGGGCTCATTCTCTGACGGCGACAACACAGTGGGCGTTGTCGCCGGGAAGAACAGGGTCGCCGACGATGTCTGTGGAGAATAAGGAAGTACCAATGTCATTTTCGAGCTTGAAGCCCCCTACAAGTCCCTCGAAAACCAAAGGGGTGGAGAAGTTGTTCAACTTGGGGTTGGACTTGTTCAAGAGTAAAAAATCTTCTTCTTCTAATGTCTTGCTGGTAAGGTCTAATTCGGTTTCTTCGGGCTCAAGTATGACAGAGATGGGTCATCAACTCCGGTTGCTTCATAATCGATATTTGCAGTGGCGGTTTGCAAATGCTAGAGCTGATGTTGTGAATCAGAACATAGCAGATCAAGCACAGGTATGTCTCGGTGCAATTGGAAATAAAATCACTAAATATAAGTTATATTTAATTGTCAAAGTTTTCTATGCGACACTTTTAACATTCTTCAACATTTGCAGGTCAATGTTTTATATGCTTGGGATGCTCTGATGAAGTTACGGCATTCCGTGCTACAAAAGAAAGTGAAGTTACAAAAAGAAAGGCTTGACATGAAGCTGAACTTCATACTCTATTCTCAAGTGAGTAGCAAACTACGATACCTAAAGGTTTTCGTTACGAGATTTGATGGTGTATAGAAGTTTGGATTGATTGAAACAACCTGTGTTAATATGTTTGTAATTTGTGTAGCTTAAGCCATTGGATTCTTGGGGAGATATGGAACGGCAACACATGGCAGCAGCTTGCATGATGAAAGAGTGCTTGCATTCTGTTGTCTGCAGGGTGCCTCTCGTTGAAGGTGCAGAGGTAGGGGAAAGGAAACTGACTCTAATCTCTTATTTTCGGCAAACGAGATGCATTTTTTCTAACAAAACTGAGTGCGAATGCAGGCGGACACTCAATCTGCTTCTGTTGCTCTTCGACATGCTTCGGATCTCACCACTTCCATTAAGTTGTTGCTTTCTAATTTCTCACCATTGGTACGCTTCAGTTGTTTTATAATGTTGTATACTTGGGATTCGTGTAATGTGGACTTACATTGAAGCCGATTCTTGAACAGGCAGAGCAAGCTGCTCCGTTACTGTCGGAATTAGCGGAGGTGGTTGCACAAGAAAAATTGCTTTTAGAGGAGTGTCTTGAGCTTTTCAGAAACATTTCCACACTAGAGGTAGTAAACGGACGCTAACTCCTTTTCCCTATAAAACTAACGTGTTCCAAATTACGGTTACTAATGCTTAATGTCACATGACATGAACTGCACCAAACTCCGGAAAACTGACTTGTTCCTTCTGATTTTGTTCGGACAGATTGAAGAGAGGAGTTTGAAGTGCAGTATAATTCAGTTGGAACTTTGGAAACAAGAACAAATTAATTAGCAGCAACTAAGACAAAAAGAAAAAAGAAAAAAAGGGTTTGCGACGAAGTTATATAGCACGGGCGCTAAGTGACGTTATATTTCTTAGAAATTGTTGGCTTGGAAGGTGATTGATGCATGAAACTGGCCCTTGTAATGTATATGTGAGTATAACGTTCTGTGAATGAGCAAGAAAGTTTTGGTAATTAGCCGATTGAACATTCACGTAATTTCACTTTTGTTACGTAGATAGGGTCTTCCTCTTACGTTGCTTAAAGTAGGAATATCGCTTGTAATAATTTTTTTTTTTTTTGTAGATATACCAAGTTTGGCTGTTACTAATTCTGCTTTCTTATCATGTGTGTTTGTAGCATGTTGACAAAATCTTTTTTTGCTAGTTTTCACTGCAACGGCACTGCTCACACTGCAAACCCTAGATGAATTGAATTATATATTGCGTAATTCACGTGACTGTATGGCCGTCACACTCGAAATTTACTCAGGCCGGCCGGCCAGCTGCAGCGACAAAATGTTTAGTGCTCATCATGTTTCTTTTATTTAATTAATCCATTTGGTCCACACGTTCTTATGTTTCAAAATTACAGTTGTTGATTGAGTTGAAAATCAATCACGAAGTCAAACCCAATTCAAATGGTATCTCATTTAGGAGATGCAGCCATGTGGTAGTTCATGGGCAACCATGAATCCCTCTCCTCCAATGTCCGTCCTCTTAAAAAGTGAAGGTTGCTACGAGCCTCTCACCAATCCAAACCCGAAACTCCTACCTGCCAAACAGGAAAGTTGATCGAAATACTTGATCTGCGAAGATGAACGATTTGTTTATGAGCGATTCGTTCAAAAGATACAAGGACCTTGAGCGCCAAGTCTACATCGATGACATGCAGGATGGAGGCGAGACATGGAAAGAGACTGTCGATCTTGATGGATTCTTCAAGGAGATAGAGAATGTCCAACGTGACATGAGAGCTGTGGTGCAGCATTACAAGCGGTTAGAGGGAGCCAACGAGAAGAGCAAGCTCGTCCACGATGCCAAGTCCATGAAGGGGCTTCGCGCACGGATGGACTCTGATGTTGAGCAGGTGTTGAAGTTGGTTAAACTCATCAAGGGGAAGTTAGAAAAGCTCGAACTCTCCAATGAGGATCAGCGAAAAGTTCCAGGGTGCGGCACAGGGTCATCTTCGGATCGAACAAGAACTTCAGTGTTCAATGGCTTGGCCAAGAAGCTAAAGGACATGATGGATGATTTTCAAGGCTTAAGGGCCAAAATTGCATGCGAATACAAAGAGACAGTTCAAAGGAGGTACTTCACAATCACAGGTGAGAAGGCCAACAAGGAAACAATAGAGAATTTGATATCGAGCGGAGAGGGAGAGACATTGCTCCAGAAGGCGATGGAGGAGCAGGGCCGCGGCCAAGTTTTGGACACGGTTCAAGAAATCCAAGAGAGGCTTGGTGCTGTGAAGGAGATGGAGAAGAGCCTCATTGAGCTCCACCAGGTATTCCTTGACATGGCTGCACTCGTAGATGCACAAGGGCAGCAGCTGAACGACATCGAGAGCCACGTGGCGCATGCCAATTCATTCGTTAGGCGGGGAACCGTGCAGCTTGAGGTGGCTAAGGACTATCAGAAGAGTACCAGGAAGTGCACTTGCATTGCCATTGTTATTGGCACTTGTGTTATTGTCATTCTTCTTTTGCCTATTTTGCTTGACTTCAAGAGTTAACAAAAATATGCAACTGCCCTCTGCGTTAACAAGAATTGTATTCTTTGTACGTTTCTACATTGCTAGGCTTACATTGTATGAAATATTAATTTCATTTTATCTCATAATTTAACTTTGAATTAATAAGGAGTGGATAATAAAATACTAAAACGGGCCGGCACGTTGTGCCGGACACTAATCAATTATGTAGCACTTGCTTCACATGACTATTGTTCTAAAAATCTCCGTCCAACGACACCTAGACCCTGCCTAGGCGCTAACGGTAGGCCACCACCCTGATTAACTCCTAGGCCATTTGAAAATTAAAAAAGGGCCCCTAGACATGCCTAGACGCCGGCCTAGCCCGCTGAGGCACCCGCCTAGTCTGCCTAGGCGACTCTCACTTTGTAAAAAAATAAAAAACTTTCATTTTGCATTTTGTTTTTTTTTCTTCAATATATTGTAAGAGACTTGTTAAATAATTAGATGAACACTCATTATATGCTTGTTCCCCATGTTTTCAATACATTCTAAATTTTATAATCTATATGTCATTCTATTTTACAATTTATGTATCTCAGTACAATTATGTATTTTTAAATATAAGTGAATATTTATTTATACGTTAGATAATAAATTTAATTAAAATAAAAAAAATGGCCTAAACCCTAGCCCCGCTCGACTAGCGTCTCACACTTTTTAAAACCTTGTTGTTCACATTGTGTGAGTCTCTGGTACATATCAAAAGCTACCGTTCAACTACAACGTGACAACCTGAAACTTCATTTTAACACGATTTAAATAGAAGTAGGCGATTAAGATAAGTGAAACTTCATTAAACTGTTAAAACAAATTCAGTAAAATTTTGTTTATACGGTCATTGGATTGTATGAGTTGAAGAAGTATGCGGTCATTAGATCGTATGAGTTGAAGAAGGATTTGATGGAACCCAATTTGGTTAAAAATTTGTTTATACGGTCATCGGATCGTATGAGTTGAAAAAGATCAAAGAACATAAATTAACAACAAGTGTGTAAGAAATAAAAAGAGGTATACTGATAAAACATTCCTATTTTTTATGCGACTAAGTTGAAACGTATAACCTTCCGTTCCGTGATATATTTAAAAAACCGTTATTCTACAGTTCCCGTTGCATGTAAATTTCCTTTTGTAAATCGGCCTAGTTTGTCACCCTTGGGCTTACAAGTACTAACCCAAGTAAAAGTACCAACCGCGCTCCATCAGTAATTAGCCCAGACGACGTCGTTTTTCTGATGGGCAAGCCTCTTTCTATGACCAAAGCGTTTCCTCGTATTTCCCTTTCTCGCTCCTCTCTTCGTCTCCCTCTCTCTCATTTGAAGCTCAAAGGCATGGCTACTCTAGCGGCGGCCGCGGCTCGTCAACTCGCCACTTCAAGCCGCATCTCCACGGCGAGAACTTCGTCTCTCCCTTCCAATATAATCCACCGCCGCGGCCTCGCCGGCGCTGCTGGTAATAATCCCAAATTTTCAATCTTGTATATTGTGTATTACTTGATCTCCCATCTGATTTTTTAGCTGATTTGGTTTTCAACCACAAAAAATGTGAAATTTTCAGATCACCATGGACCCCCAAGGGTTAACGTCTGGCAAGACCCATTGAGCCCATCTAAATGGAAGGAAGAGCATGTCAGTCTCTCGCTCCCGCTACATTTTTTGGTCTTCGATCTCATGAATTTATATATGTGTGTGTGTGTGTATAATATGTATGCATGCATGTATTTATTGTTTTGGTATTCAATTTCATGAAACTAGTTACTTGTTAAATTTTGCGTTGTGATGATTTTGATGATTTTTTCTGGGTTTTGATTTTACCCATTTGTTTGGAATTGACAATTATAAAGAAAAAAAACTAATTTTTTTTTATGGATGAAGAAGTGTAGCATGATCTATATATAATCAGAAAGATGCATTTTTTGTTGTTTTGGGTTTGAAATGTTTTTATCTTCTGAGTTATGATTTATATTGTGACGAAAAGAGTGATGATTTTCTTGAACATAAACATGGTAAAAGAGAGTTTTAGTTATGGATTAGCGGTTTTACACGTTACCTCGTTGAAATTGATTAGTGTTGTTCTTGAACCACTAGTATGATAGAAATTAGTTGACACATTAAGTTGTCTTGACTGGGTTCAGTACTTTTGCAGTTTGTAATTGTATCTTTATCTGGCTGGGGTCTACTCATCTTTGGAGGTTACAAGTTTTTCACTGGAGGCAAAGGCAAGAAAGAAGAGGTACTTCAGATTTCTTTCTCCCTTAAGCACTATGATATTGTTGTGGCCGGTTACGAGCCTAGGCATCGGATATCCTAAGCAACATTGTTGTGGTTATTTGAATGAGCAATGGTTTTTATGTAAATGAACGTGGGCAGCGGCTCATGGTCCTGATTTTGGTGTAGTCAATTAGATATGCGTTTATATGACTATTTTTTTTTGAATCTGCGTTTATATGACTATTCGCTTTCCCATTCTAGTGAAATGTTGTTCTTCTACTTTTTTTATTCCAGCGTATCGATTCGGTTCACTCTGTGCATGCGGAAAGGTAACTAGGACTGCAAATACATAATTAGATCACCCATGATGCATCTCCCATTTTATACTGTGTAGATAAATGATTGTTCTTCTTATGCCCCTTCATCATATTTTGCTGTATATTGTGCGCTTTTGGTTGTCGGATAGAGATGGTGTTGTATTAAATGGTTAGTGGTTCATCTATAAGAAAATTTACAAATATAATCATCAGATGAATTGGACAATGTGTAACATGCTTATTTGCAATCTTCAAGTTGTTCGCATATGGTCAGTTGATCGGATTATCATGGGGAGTTGCTTTTTCAAAAATGCGCGTGTGTGTGTGTGGATGATAAAATCATGGTGTGTTGTTTTGTTTCTAATGTCCGCATAGAGCTAACAATGGATTAGGTTAGGTGAATTTAGGACGAGTCCGGTTTTTATAGAGTGCTTCTATATGTCGTGAAGCATGCAATGTTGCTATTTTCTATAATATGTGCCACTATATTGGAGGATTGTTGTATCTGAGAGAAGAGGAAGATAAAAAACACGTTTGGATTGAATTAGGTAAACATAACTGGAAGTGACCTTGGCATTTTAATATGGAATGGAGTCACTGATGTAACTCTTGTTTGGTTTTGGACTAATTTTAGCTTTTGCTGACTAAAGTTGTTTATTTTCAGAACCTTGTGGAAGCAAAGCACTGAGGTTTGAAGTTTTAGATATTCCTGGAACTTCTTCGTAATAACGAGTTTGCTTGGATATAACATGCCTTCTGATATCTTTCTCATTGTCAGAAAATGATTTATGATCAGTCTGTGGAGATCAATACATTGAAAAAGTTAAGGTCAATGGTTTTGTTGGGAGTTTATGCCCCTGTTCAGTTGTGCTCTTTTTGGAGTTGCTTTTACGATCCCATGAGTTAACTTTTCATGTTTTCAATAATATTATGCTTGAGATTGTGAAGCACAACCGAATCAGACCCTTTACCAATCCTTCATAATCTCTATTTACCCTTTCTCCTCCCTTCCCCGCGACAATGCTACAGAAGCTAACATTTCATTTCTTCCTCATTATTTTCTGATTTCCTGGTGTCCGTGTTGTTTAGGTTATTTTGTTGATGTCTTTAACGTCCTTGTACTCTTTCGATTTTCCAACTTCAAGTTTCTGTTTCCTATCATCTTTGGCTTTTGCAGGGTTTAGAAGCTCCAAGTTTTCGACATCTGGAGAATGGACGGGTTGATCATCCCCTGTTTAGTTTCCGGTTTAAAGCCGTTTCCTCTTCTTTGCCCACTGAGCCACTCTGATCATCTATGAGGAATCTCCTACTTCTCTTACTTCCCACTCCATTGGTATTAAAAACTTAACCTGCTCTCCTCCCTCCTATTACTAGCTGTTGATCTCCATTTCTTTCAGTCTCTTGCATTTCCAACTTCAACCACCCGCAGTTGCAGTAAGTTTCTGCATCTCACCTGGTTCAGAAACTTTCCGATCACTCCCATTTCCTGTGATCTTAGTTTCATCGCGGTCATCAACTTTCCGATCGACATATTTCCCTCATGATAATACTGGGGTACTCACTGGGGAGTATTAGTGTTTGATTTTCTGGGTAGATTCAATGGAACAGTAAGTGCACACACACACAGAGAGCAGAGCTTTCTTTCAAGGTTTTAGTGTATTCAACTTGTTCACAAAGCAAAGAGCTCAAAGAGCATGATTTAACGTTGGAGGAGTGAGAAACAACTTCACTCTCTCACAACATTACAAATCCATCACAACCATTCATTTCTAAGTCATCATATAAGATGCTTGCACATGTCATGAGCTATGACTCATTCTAATCTAATCTAATCTAAATACCAATTGGAATATGATCCAAAGGTTTACATTAGATCCTACACTTTGTTTATAATGAAACTACCACAACAAATACATTTATACTCCAATACTCCCTTCTAAATGTTTTGCTGATTTCACACCAAGAGCAGTTCTCAAATATTCGAATCGATCCTTAGGAAGAGCCTTGGTAAAGATGTCTGCCAATTGCTCCTCTGTGCTGCAATAATGCAGTTCAATTGTCCCATCTTGAATGGCATCTCTTATGAAATGGTACCTCCGATTAATATGCCTGGTTTTATGATGAAACACTGGATTCTTAGACATGGCTATGGCAGAGGTGTTGTCACACAACAAAGGTGTAGCCTCCACTTGTTCTTCTCCAAAATCAGATAAAACAAACCTCAACCACATTGCTTGTGTTGTAGCTTCTGCAGCACTTACATACTCGGCCTCTGCAGTAGATAAAGCCACACTGCATTGTTTAACAGAAGCCCAAGAAAACACTCCTGAACCTAAACTAAATGCATAGCCTGAGGTGCTCTTCACGTCATCCAAGCTTCCTGCCCAATCACTATCACAGTATCCTATCAACACAGCAGCTTTTCCTTTCACATATTCGATTCCAAAATCCAATGTGCCTTGCACATATCTCAAGACTCTTTTAGTTGTCCCCATGTGTTTTCTAGTAGGTTTG